GCCCACTTGGAGTATGGGAACAGTTACATCAGTGGTCAAATCCCACAAATCAAGGGAGAGGGCACAATACTCCAGGCCCGTCAGATGGCCGTCCACAGTACGAATGAGCGGACAGGCGCCGAAACAGCCTGCACCCTCATAAATGCGGCTCACCTCAGTTGTCCAGGTGAAGGGACGAGAGCCGCCAACGCTCGGTGGTTGGTCAGATCCACGCAAGCATCTGACAGCCGTTGTCACGCATACGAGGAGGGGCTTTCCCACTCCTATGTAGCGTGATGCAGAGCACAGCTCTTCGAATGACCATTGACGGTACGAATGAACAGCAGGACGTCTCCGAACAACGTGTGGTCACATCCCATAATTCAAGGAGCAGTCAAGCTATCTCCCTCACCTCTATTAGTGGTCAAATCCCATGAATCAAGGGATAGCCCATGCCATCCCTTGCCTGTTAAAACCCATCTTCAGCAGCATGAAGAAGGGGGATTGGCCGTTGCATATTCTGCTGGCTAATCTCCCAAAGGTTGAACCTGGACCTTTGCCAAAGGCTCCCTCATTTGAGAACCGAAGCTCCGGCTCCGGCATCAACTTCGATCGGATCGTCCAAGGGAAGCAGACTCGGCACGAGCACCGAGCGAGGCATCCTATCGCCACCTAAAGTCCCCACACAAAACAAAGAGGGCCTTCCCTCTGCTTCTGTTGTAAACATTTGATTTGTTAGTTTGTAATAAGCTTTCTTATAAATACAAACGAAACTCCTTTCTTCGGAAGAATCAAATTTTCACCCTTGTCCGAGAAATCCATTGGTGGGGCATTGCATTTTGTCACCTTCATCGATGATCATTCAAGGAAGGTGTGGTTACACCTATTAAAATCAAAGGATCAAGTACTTGATGCATTCAAGGAGTTCCATGCCCGAGTGGAATGTGAGACAGGACGAAAGATCAAGTGTGTGCAATCAGACAATGGAGATGAGTATAGAGATCCTTTCGAATGTAAGAAATATAGGATTAGGCTGGAGAATAATCCACCCAAGATGTCACAGTTGAATGGACTAGCTGAGAGAATGAACCGAAATATTGAAGAAAGAGTTTGATGTGTACTCTCTCATGCCAAGTTGCCCAAATTATTCTGGGGAGAAGCTGTGATGACTGTTGTTGACATAGTCAACCTTACACCATCAGTTCCTTTGGACGGAGACATCCTAGAGGAGGTTTGGTCAGGCAAAAGGGCTTCTTACAACCATCTCAAGGTGTTCGAATGTAGGGCATTTATTCACATCCTCAAAGATGAGTGAGCAAAGCTTGATGCAAAAACTAAGGAATGCATCTATCTTCGTTCTCCTAAGGATGAGTTCGGATACCAACTTTAGGATCCAATCAACAAGAAGGTCGTCCGAAGCCGGGACGTTGTATTCTTCGAAGACCAAATAATTGAAGACATCCAGAAATCGGAGAGGCCAAGATTAAGAAGTAGCAAGAGCACATACCTTACACCGGTCCGATGTAAGGATAATGCCACACCTGAAAAAATGATGCTGAAGATCATGAGCCTATCCTAGAGCAAAAAAACAGGAGACTCATGATGAGCCAGTTCAGGAAGAACCTCAGTCTAGCTCTCCACTAGCGCCCCAGTTGTGACGATCTTCAAGGGACCGAAGGTCATATTCCTGATATAGCATCGAAGAGTTTACGATGCTCATCGATGAGGGGGAGCCTCAAATCATAAAGTGGAGTGGATAAGGGTCATGCAAGAGGAGATGTAATACTTGCACGAGAATAACACTTATGAACTAGTGGAGCTACCAAAAGGGAGACGAGCCTTGAGGAATAAGTGAGTGTATCAAATTAAGACCGAAGAAAGCAGTTCAAAGCCCTGCTACAAAACTCGGTTGGTCGTAAAAGGATTCAGTCAAGAGAAAGGTATTGAATTTAAAGAAATATTCTTTCTAGTGGTAAAGATGTCATCCATCTGAGTTGCTCTTGGCCTAGCAGCAGTGCAAGACTTGGAGATCGAGCAGCTCGATGTTAAGACAATATTCCTTTATGGTGATCTAGAGGAAGAGGTCTACATGGAGCAGCCTGAGGGGTTCAAAGTTCTAGGCAAAGAAAATTTGATGTGCCGCCTAACAAAGAGTCTATTAGGTCTTAAGCAAGCACCTAGGCAATGGTACAAGAAGTTCGACTCTTTCATGACATAACATGATTTTAAAAGGATGGAGATCGATCATTGTGTCTTCATAAAGAGGTATGCATGTGACAACTTTCTCATACTTCTACTCTATGTTGATGATATGTTGATTGTTGGACGAGATCACATAAAGATAGCTGCTTTGAAGAAAGATCTAAGCAATAGCTTTGTCATGAAAGATTTGGGACAAGCTAGACAAATCCTTAGGATGAGGATCACTCGTGATAGATCAAAGAAGTTGCTATGATTATCCCAAGAGAGGTACATTGAGAAGGTGCTAGAAAGATTCAACATGCACAAAGAAAAGCCGGTCAACACACCACTTGCTGGACACTTCAAGATGAGCTCGAAGCAAAGTCCCACAAGTGAGAAAAAATGGAGGAAATGAAGATGATTCAATATTCATCTGCAGTAGGCAGTCTTATGTATGTAAAGTCTTATGTATGTAATGATATGCACAAGACCTGATATCGCCTATGTAGTTGGTGTTGTTAGTCGCTTCTTGGCTAATCCGGGGGAAGGAACATTGGACTGCAGTCAAATGGATCCTCCGATATCTACGAGTCGCTTCTTGGCTAATCCGGGGGAAGGAACATTGGACTGCAGTCAAATGGATCCTCCGATATCTACGCGATACTTCTAAGAAGTGTTTATGCTTTGGAAATGGAAAATATGTGCTAGTGGGATACACAGTTACAGACTTGGCCGGTGACATTGAGTCTAGAAAATCAACGTCAGAATACCTAACTACTTTTGCAGGGGGAGCTGTTTTCTGGCAATCAAAGTTACAAAAGTGTGTTGCATTGTCCACTACTGAGGCAGAGTACATCGCAGCTATTGAAGCTTGTAAGGAGATGCTGTGGATGAAGAATTTTGTTGGTTGAGTTGGGAGTAGATCAAGACATGTATATCTTGAAGTGTGACAATCAAAGTGTAATTTACTTAGCAAAGAATTCAACTTTTCATTCCCGCACAAAGGCGCACATTGATACACGGTATCACTGAATCCGAAGAACACTCGAAGAAAAGCGCATACATCTTAACAAGGTTCAAACAGATGAAAATTAGTCAGGCATGATGACCAAGGTAATAACATCCACGAAGTTTGAAGATTGTGGTTAAGGTGTTGGTTTGCTACTACCTCCCAATTAAGTCGGGAGGGGGAGATTTGCTAGGTTTCCTCCTTAATTGGGAAGATTTTAGAAAATTCTAGAACTTTCTGGAGAACTCTAGAGAAATGTAGAATTCTCTAGAAGCGTGTGAAATCCTCTAGAATATTCTAGAGATGTGTGGAGCCTTTTGGAACATTCTGAAAAAGTATGAAATAAAATGGAGGATTGTAGAGATTCCTTAGAAATCTCTAGAAAGTAAAGATATGTGTGGAGAATTCTAGAGAGCTAATCTTCACCCTTGGATCAAATTAATCTCCACCACTCATTATGAAGGTGGAGTAGTATAAATAGGGATGGAAGCCTTCATTCCTATTCATCCAAGACAAGAAAACAATCCATTTCTTAGAGTGAGAGAAAACCTCTAATATAGAGAGTTAGAGAGCTTCTTTGAGAGAAGTGAGATAGCTTGAGAGTTCTAATCCTCAAGCTCGAGTGAGTCACCAAAGTGAGACAGTTTTGTAAAATATAAATTCTTGTAATCCTACTATTCTTTTGTATAGTGGAAGAACCTCCATATTGGAGAACCATAAACTCTTGTGCTCTTATTAATATCTTAATTTATAAGTGCATATCTTAACTTCACGAGGCGGTAAAGACCGAGTTTTCCCAACATATGTACTAGTTGTTAAAGGAGGTGTTTTACTTTCGTCTGGTAAATACAAAAGTTGGGAGGAGAGGAATTCTAGAAGCTCTTTTCCCCTTCAGTACGTGAAATTGGAGGCAACTGTGCTCAGTTCATACTGACATAAATTTATTTTCGATACTAGTGCTTACAAAAATTATTTTTTATGTGTATTGATCATGTTTTCCAATTGCTCTAGTTGCATCCAAAAATTTTGTGAAATAGTACTCTTTTTAGTTCAATTCTCATAGTCAAGGCTCTAATTGATCGGTGAAATTCACATATTACAGCAAAGAAAATATAAAGTGAATACTTTTTAATTATATTTTTAAACAGAGAAATTCCAGCAACCTAACGCAAGTATAACACTAATAAGAATATACAAAACATAGAGAGATAAAATTCTGCATATTGGCAAATATTAAGAATCTAATAATCTCGAGCCGTAAATTAAGTATTATATACACTAGTAAAAATTCACGTATCCTAAACGGAATATTCTAGACGGAATTTTTTCCGTCTAGAATGTATTAAACTAGACAGAAAAATTCCGTCTAGAATATTCCGTCTAGAATGTAATATTCTAGACGGAATTTCCGTCTAGAATAGTATTCTAGACGGATTTTATTAAATATTTTTTAATTACCCGTTATCCTAGACGGAAATTTCCGTCTAGGATAGCTTTCTAGACGGAAAACATTAAAAAAAACTTTTTTTTTCGTTTTCGTGGCTACAATTTTGGTAATCCCCCAGCTCTAAAAATTTCCCCCCTTGTTATATATCAAAAAACTGCCTTAAAATTCATCCCCTCTTCCAAATTAAAAATCTCTCCCCAACCCTAAAAAATGGACCCCCACACCCGACGTCCCTGCCGTCGCCTCCTCCTCCTCCTCCGGCTGACAGAAGATCACCTACCCCAAGCGCCACCGTCGGGCCCCTCCTCCCTCCGCCGCAGCCCCCCGCCGTCTCCAGCGTCTTCGCCTCCGTCGAGCTCAGGGCCCCAGGAGCGCCGACGCTCAATGGAGGCCGCGGCCCGGCTATCGCCGGCCCCACTCGCTGATCCTGATGGAGGGATGCTGACTCAGCAGTGGAAGCCCTTTGCCGATGCCCCCGATCCCAAAGCCCTTCTCGATGTCAGTTTCTCTCTCTCTCTCTCTCTCTCTCAATCTAATGTGATAAAGTTGAGTTTTTGACAATTTTAGTGCTGCGTGTAGCAAATTTTGTTGTTTGATGAGTGGTTCATGATGAACTGATGAATGGTGGGGAAATCTTTTAGGTCAATTAAAAATGACCATTTATACAATTTGATTATAGTGTTTAATTGGTTTAAGATGTGAATGGTGGATGCAGGTGCTGCTGTTATTTACTTCATATATGTAGCTTATAATAATATCAGACTTCGACATTTGCAAAAAGTAAAAGGTAATATGGTTGCAGGAAATATATAATCAATATTTGAGCTGTATTAGACCATGAAGTATGAATAAATAAACTCAATTAGTACAAACCGGAATATTATAACCTGGGGTGTGTTATTGACTTCTTCTTTTCAATTGGGACTTGAATGGAATGAATTTTTTATTAGAACATCTTCATTAATCGCGGGTTTTTGGTCTTTCAAATTGTATCCTGGAAATGAAAAGTATGCAGAAAAAAGGTATTAATTGTTGTATTCGTTACTCGACATCTTGTTGTTGAACTGAACAAGGCATTGTTCATTATTTTCTAGGATTTTTTTTGCACCTTCTCATTGTTATTGAAATTTTATTTATAATATTATGCTTTTGCATGTAAATTTTTTATTAGTCATCCTTGTGTTTGGGTATATTTTCTTTAGAACTTATAGTTTCCCTATTGATTAAATTGTTCTCTCAGACGCAAAGACGTGAATCTATTGCAGCAAAACTTGTTGCAAATTTGATCACAGAAGCAGGTGCAAACCGTGTACTTGCATGTGATCTTCGTTCCGGGCAGTCCATGGGATATTTTGATATTCCAGTGGATCATGTCGATGGTCAGGTAACTCTCACATAATCTATTGGATAAGTTGTTTTGAGAATTACAGAATGGCGTAAATCCCTTTCTAACTAATCAAAATTGTTTGCTTTTGTACTTCTAGCCTGTGATTCTTGATTACCTAGCCAGCAAGACCATATGTTTAGACGATCTAGTTGTAGTATCTTTAGATGTTGGAGGTGTTGCTAGGGCTCGTGCTTTTGTCAAGAAGTTATCAGATACTTCTCTCGCCATTGTGGATAAAAGGCGTCTTGGACACAATGTTGCTGAGGTAGTAGAATGCAAATAGATTGCCCTTGGAAAGAAATATTCTTCATAGCTTAGGCTTAGTGGTATCCTGCTTTATGTTAACTTAGTGGTATCTCTTGGATCCAAAATTGTTCCACTTATTAATTTAAACGGTATGATTGCCTTCTATGTACATGCTTAACAATTAGGAGACAATATGGTTGTATCAATCTATCTACTCACATTTTACTATCTTTTGTACATACAGGTTATGAATCTGATAGGGGACGTCAGAGGGAAAGTTGCTGTTGTGGTTGACGATATGATTGATACTGCTGGTAAGTTGAGTTTGTTTTCTCTAGGAATATAAATTCCGTCATTGTGCCTAAAATATCTGCACCCTCTCTTTTCTTTTTCTCTAGCTACATCATGTTTTTGTTGTTTTTAGGACAATATGAGCAGCTTCAAAGAGCTTTTCTCAAGGGAAACAAAAATATGTCTTGCTACTTCCTATCTGTTTGATTTGTGATTCTTGAATAAAATATTTGATGAATCTGATGAGGCGTATGCATAAATGCTATACAGGTCAAGTGGTTCTTTCTGTACTTCAATGTGATTTGCTGTAATTTTGACACCTTCATGATGATTAAGGTTCTCATTAGATTAAATTATTGAGATGTTGCACCTCGACTAATTTTGACAAAGCATGGTTAAAGTTGAAGAATTGCAGTCCTGTAAGCGACCTCTAGCATCTAAAATGTACAAAAAATTTGCATCAAAGATTGAATTTAACTTTTTTATTATGTGTGATTTTCCCCCAAATATTTATATCCAAAATTTATATCAAAGGCTGCAAATTTTGAGTATTCTAAGGTAAGATTTTCTTCATGTTTTTGCATGTTTTGTTATGAGAATCAATAATCATAGAACAGTATTAAACTTGAGAGCTTCATTTCTTTAGCCAATACCTATGTTTGGTTGTGAATCTATGAAAAACATGATTCGGTCAGGCTAGATCAACTACCTAGCTACTAGGCTAATTTGCACAATTGTATTTGTGAATCCTACTTATATAACACAAATTTGGCCTCATGTTTAGTTATTACTCATGTTTAGTTATTACTGAGCATACTTCTAAATTTAGGAATATATCATATTCTTAAAAATAATGCCACCTTCTTTTTTATCTTGCAGGTGCATGTGTTTCTTTGAGCTTCTCTGGAGAAAATGGACTTGGATATCGGTTTGTCATGCGTCATTGTATTTTTAAATCACAACTTTCTTTGTGTTAAGCCCAAAACAAATAGTGAGTTGATTCAGTTGTGCGGCAAATTTATAAGTTGACATTGTGTTACTTTGTCGTGTGAAAAAACAAAGGATTTGTATGTGGTTGGTATCATGTTGGTGTGTGATTTATTTATGAAAAAACATGTGTTACTTTGTTGTGTGATTTATTTAAGTTGTTTTGTGTGATTTATTTAAGTTGTTATCATGTTGGTGTGGTTTCTTAATTTGTAAGCTGGATTTACAGGGTTATTTGAGTGGATTTACAGATTTGTAAGCTGGATTTACAGGGTTATTTGAGTGGATTTACAGATTTGTAAGCTGGATTTACATATTTGTAAGCTGGAAACTGCACAGAATATCCTAGACGGATTTTTTGTATCCCAGACGGATTTTTTTATCCCAGCTGGAAGCTGGATTTACAGGCTGCCGTCTGGGATAGTTATCCCAGACGGAATAGTATTCCGTCTGGGATAACTATCCCAGACGGATTTTCCGTTTGGGATAATTTACATCCCAGACGGTTTTTCCGTCTGGGATAACTATCCCAGACGGAAATTTTCGTCTGGGATGTAAATTATCCCAGACGGAAAATTTCTGTCTGGGATAGTTATCTCAGACGGAAAAAATCCGTCTGTAATGTATTACAGACGGTTTTTTTTTACGTCTACTAACGTCCGTCTAGAATTCATTCTAGACGGAATTTCCGTCTAGAATAATGTATTCTAGACGGAAACAAACTAGACTCGTATTCCAGACGGAATTCCGTCTGGAATACGTTTTCTGGACGGGATTTTAATTATTCCAGACGGAATTTTCCGTCTGGATTACGTCGTTTTCTACCAGTGATAAGGATGGTATCACCAACTTAAATATACGGCTTAAGATTCTTTAGGAACTTCAATTTTAAATCACAGATTAGGTGAAAATTTGGATAATGATGGTGCCAATTTCACGGTGCCACTCGCTTACAAGAGAATTAATAATTAGGAGGCTTGGAGGAGAAAAGCAGATGCACACTTTTACTTATGTCCTTTTAGTCCCACATCGGCCGTTTAGTATTGTGAGGGACGTGACAGCCAGTATATAACGAGTTGATGGGCTTCGAAACAACTCATACCTTTCTCGGCCTTTTGGCTAAGATCAAGTGTAGTATCTGTTCTTATCAGTTTAATATTGGCTAAGATCAAGTGTAGTATCTGTTCTTATCAGTTTAATATCTGATACGTGGGCCATCGGCCCACTATGATATTAAATTAATTTTTGTTGGGGGAGGGCCCAACACAGCAGCTTGCTGCTGGGGCTCTCGAGCGTCGCCCGGGCGTTACACTACTGCCTGGGCCCGGCACACCCCTACCAAATCAATGTTTAAACTTTATTTCTTAAAAGTGATTAATTGCACTTAAAACCCTATATTTTAAACATTATTTAAGAAAATCTTTAATTGCAGTAAACACCCTGATTGTTTTATATACTTCAGACTTCACATACCCTCACTTGTTCAGTCATTTGATCTTGACTAAAGCTTTTGCACTTTGATAGCCGTTGTGCGCACCTATGCACTCTGAAGTTGTTTAAGTTTGCATTTTTATTTTAATTCCCGATTAACGTTGAGATATGATTCTTTTAAAGAAAGAGTTGATATATTAATTTTGTGAACTTTTTAACTCCTTAATTTTTATTAAATTTATTGTTAAAATATCGTAATTCTATTTTGAAACTATCCAATTTTAATTTAATGTAGGAATTTGATAGGCTCAACAGAAATTTTACAAATATTAAGAGTTAAAAATATTTTAAAAGCAGCACGTTAATGGAAATTTTCATGATGAAATTTCATGTTTGCATAACTGAGATAGTAAATTGTAAATTCTAAAAACCTAAAGATATATAGATGCTGCCAAAAATAATTGAGGGCGTATAACTGTAAGCTTTTGTTGAGTTGCATTATTCCCGTGTAATTCAACTACATTTTCGGTGGGTCATGGTTTAAAGCTTTTGTTGAGTTGCATTATTCCCGTGTAATTCAACTACATTTTCGGTGGGTCATGGTTTAGTAGAAATAGGCATCTAATCAAGCATTATTCCCGTGTAATTCAACTACATTTTCGGTGGGTCATGGTTTAGTAGAAATAGGCATCTAATCAAATCCAGTTACAAATTAAAACAAGTGTTGCATAATCCAAGGATTATAACCGAAGATCCTCTCCAAATTGAGTAGAGATTTTACCGGAACATTCTCATAGAATGAGATGATATATACCATTTACGGATGGTTATATGATTAATTTGGAAATTATACTTATTCTATCTATATGGCGGAAACTACCCCCGCTCAGAGTGGTTCTGATAGGATTTGTGTTCCTACATTATGGTGTTATATTTGGGTTTAACGACAACAAACCTCAAGTGGTTTGAAACTTTAGATACTATTATTCACCATTTATTGATAGATTTGATCTTCATCTAGATCAAGAACCAGAATACATCATTACCACTAACGTTTACAATGTTTTCACCATGCATGGCCTCTTAAATAAATTTATGATTTTCTTATCACAATTCCGTATCTTAAATGACGCTTGTAAGGTTCCTATTCCTACATTGTTAGTTTGATTATACCCTAATAAGCCAAAGTTTAGGAAAAAGTTATTACTTGTTTATGACATTCAATATCTTAGAGTCAAACTTGAATATGAATCTTATTAGAATCATCCATATAGGAGTGGAGTGCTTTACACTATAAATAAAATAGTTAAAATTGTGAAACTAATGCTCTATCAACTCATAAATGATATAGCTTACCTTATTTTTTATGAAGCGTTCTGATAGAACTTATATTTGTCAAACTCACATTTAGGGGCTGTTTGTTTCGTTTCCCCCAGAATCCAAAACCCACTTTCCTTCACTTTTTCACTTTCCCACACTTTCCAAAACCCACTTTCCTTCACTTTCTCCATTTCCTCCAATAATATTGTGACAATTCATCCCATCACATCTCATTTCATACTTTTAAAAATAAACAAAACACATGAAATGAGTCACATCAATCAACTCATCTTAACTCACTTTCCCCCACTTTTCTTCATTTTCTATCATCTTTAAAAATTACTCACATCATCTAATAATATGGTGACAACTCATCACATCTCATTAAAATTTCCTTCCATCACTTTCCTCCAAAAAAACAAGGAAATTGATTTTCCTAAGTATGTGTCACATCATCCAATAATATAATGACAACTCATCTCATCTCATCTATTTTCCCACACTTTTAAGAATGAACCAAACACAAGAAAAGAACATAAACAAGGAAAGTGGAGGAAAACATCAAAAATTACTCACATCAACCAATAATATGGTGACAACTCATTTTCTCCCCCACTTTCGGTTATAGCTTTGACGAACCAAACTTCTGAAAGTGGAGGAAAACATCAAAATTCACCTTCTTTTCCCTCATTTTCCCCCACTTTCGATCTTTTTTTGCGAAACAAACAAGCCCTTAATGACCTCTTAAAAAAAATCCTGACTCAGTACAATGGTCTAACCTTTCATGAGAACCCCCACGCCACCCCTCCACCCCCCACCCCCCCTGCGGGGCCCCTGGTGGTGGGGTTTTTGTGCGCCTGAAAAACATAGCTATGCGAAAAAGCTTATCATATAACATTCCTCGATTTTAATTTGAAAATCAAGTAGCAGTACAACATGAGTTACTCGTAAGATCAAGAATGAAGAGCATTTCACTCATTATTAGAACACTTTTTCGATCTCATTACGAATTTTCCAGTTACTGTCTTCTCGCAGTAGGATTTGTTTTTCCAATATATACATGAATCAAGATGGTATTTATGAGCATTAGACCCTTAAATACAATTGCAAAGTAATAGAACTCCCCAAATTCAAATTTGACCTTGATCCAAACAAATTGAGAAGGCTAGCTCTAGTACCCCTTGAACAAGGCAATTCTAACTATTGATCTTCCATGTCTCGGATTACAAAATTAAGAAGGATTTGATCTTGCTATCATCAAAGCAATCCTTCAGACTTTGAAATATTTAAAAAAAAATAACACCAAAAGAAGATACGATAAGTTTTGCAACCAATAACTGCTCTATTACAGGCATGTTATATATCACAAAGAACTCAAGAGTTGGTAAACTAGCTTTCACCATTAAATTAAGCACATCTACAGTATTAATACCATAAGTTCTAGTTCAATCAGTTCTACGCAAGTTAGGGTTAATCAAAGAAACCTACATGAAGCTTAAAACGATAAATTTAAGAGCATCCAGTAACAAGATGTTTTCTCGAAAATATCCTTCATGGTCTCTCCTTGATTACTTTCAACGATTCTCCTCTTGAGCGTTAAACGAGTCATATTCAATGAGCAAACAAAAAAGCTTAACATTAACCTGAAATAAATGCATTCATTCCATGTACAGTATCTAAATACTAGAAATATAGACCAAAATAGTACTAAGAATCTAAGGAATTGCATTCAACCACACCAGAATCAAGATGAGAGAAGCGCACGAGAGTAGCATCACAGATTTAACACAAAAGTTTAGTTATCCTTACAGCAGCTAAATGCTGAAATAGTCAAATTACCTATAAGTCTTTTACGCACTGCATCTGCATTTGAAAACATTAAGGCTTACATGCCAAGAGAAATACATAATCTAGAAAGTTGATCCATTCCACCCAAAGAATGAACCCTGCGAAGAAAAGGGGTGAAATTTTTAGTACCTTGATATACAGAAAGAATGATGATAAATCGGTAAGTAGCTAGCAATAACTTTAAAACTTCAGGTTCTCATGATCTAAATAATGATGAATCTTTACATAATTACATCATCTATTGCTGATGGGAAGCATGTAAACACTGAGCATATTCTTGAGTTTTATGGGCCTAAGAACCATAAAAACCGCAATAAGAAACAAGATGCATAATAGCGTATCACAAATCTAGTTGCCGATATTAGAAAGCTTACCTTTGTATCAACAAATTGGAGATAGAATCGTGACTTGGGAATCGATAACTTGGTCTCCAAGATTGAAGCAATGGCAGCACTCAGCTTCTTGTTGACGTCAGAGTTAAGGCCTCCAATGGAAACCAGTTCACCAAATGCAGCAGGCTCCTGAGATCCCCCAAATGCCATGGGCACAGATCCTTTGAGCACCACCATCACATACTGTCAATAGGAACCCAAAAATCATTGTAATGAATCAATGATGTAATATCAACTTACATTACCAATGGATACTTTCGGGTGAAAATTGTGATTGCCTTCAAAGTTAAATTCATAAGATGCCAGTTTAAATAAAGGCTCGAGTGCAATTTAAATATCTAGTACCTATCAATATATAAAGGGTAAATTTGACAAAACCCTCCTGAAATTTGGGGGTTTTTGCACAGAACTCCACTGAACTTTATAAATCATAGAGCGCCCTAAACAAGTAGGACAACTGATAAGTGATAACACATACTTTAAGAAGGGTAAGTCACCTTAAATATAACTTCAGTATTTCCCTTTTAGAGTAATGGTAGGCAAAGAGTAAAAGGGGTAGTTTAGATATTTCTACTCCATCTGTTGACTAGGGGTGGAAATGAACCAAATAATTAGCAAACAGATATGGTTACTATTCATCCAGATATTCAGATATATTCGATTTGGTAGGGTATTTAACGGTAGACGAATAATTTTTAGTATCTGGTTCATAAATGAATAGAATTTAATAAAAGGAATATCCGATTCGGTTAATTATCAACTATTTGATTATATTTTACATTTAGTCCCATGAATTTAACTTACTGCAAATATTATTCACCCAAACTTCTATTAAAAAAGCCACCCCCATCCCATGTAGATAGTTAAATGAAATTTTTTTTATCTTACACACCAGACTCATCTTTTGAGCAATTGCCATGTTTGCAATCTGTTTATTTTCCTATTAATTATTGGGTAGGCTGGAAGTACATCTATTTCGTCATGCGTCTCAAATTAATAACTGAGGTGAAGGGCTCTCCAGCTCCTCTCATGTTATCGAGTGTTAGTGGAAACTAAAAGAGCAAGAACTACCATAGGGGTTCTCCCTCTTTCTCTTGCACCAATGTTGATGCCATCAATGAGAATTTCCAATACTTCAGGGAGGTGCTTCTATGATATATAAAGTTCAGGGGTTATGTTCAAAATCCACCAAAATTCAGGGTTGTGATGCCCATGTATAAATAAGAGGATAGAGAAATTGCCCCTAACTATTTATTGTGGCATCCATGGCACAATTTTTGCAATAAATACTCACTGGCAATCCATGACGTCTTATTCCTCTCCTCCCCTCGCGACCATTCAAATCAACCTAATGCAATGGCAGCAATGCTGATCTCATCTCCCAACCATCATCTCCCAGCTATTATCATTCATGATAGCCAGCACAACAATCAGCCCATCCCATTAAAAAAAGCCCAACCCATAGGCCATGGCCCACAGGCCAGACTAGCATGCAGTAATTCATACTTTTCTAATGTAGATTTCCTATCCTTCAATGCTCGACAAACACCCTCTAAGATCCTATAGATGTATTATTGAGGTCACAATCTCATAAACAACTCACACTATGCAAAAAAAAAGACTAATAATGTAATTAACAATCCAAATCAACATATTTAAAAATAGAAATTTACTAATGTAGTTATTTGATAGAACATTAACATCTTTTTTTAAAATGTTTTGGCATGATATGAGATGCAACTCAATTGAAAATTGCAACATCCAGGGGTTTGAGTTGTAATTTTAGTAATAGAGATTTTCTAAGCACTCTTCAGTATTTTGATGAATATTCGTAATCATTTTGATTTACTGAAAATGCTCAAATTATTGTGCTTTTGTCCTTTGAGATAACTCTATCACCAGTTTAAAGTTGTAGGGGTTTAGACTTTGCCCAAAGATAAAATACTGGTTTCCCTCTTTTAAAATATACATACTAATCTAGCAAAAATTTAGAAAAGAACGAACAGAAAAAAAATGCATTTCAACCTGCGATCCGAACCGCCATGGGCTAGGTTGCACTTGGCCCGGTCCCATAAGGGCTATGGGCCAGGTAGGGTCCAACTCGAGGCCTGAAAACAAACTCCTCGGCCCGGCCTAGGAAGCCCGTCCGGGCTTGAGTCTAACCGGCGCGGACCAAAAACTGGCAGGCCGATTCATGAGCCAAGCCCTGCCCAACCCATGCCCACCCTTATGTATGACTAAGTGAAAGAAAAAGCTTGCGCAAACTCTAATATAAATTAAAACTGGACTTCACGTTTGCCTTAATATTCACACGCTATGTGATAGTCATTACATGATAGTCCTAATAGCATCAAACTTTACGAGGCAAAAGCCTTTGTTTGGTGCCAAATAGTGATGACCGGTGCAAGAACAGTGAAATAACATAAATGTTCAAACATATTACAAAGTCAGATCGCCTAACTAGCACCTAACGCTTAGGCGGTACCTAGACTACCCATTTAGATTTTGGGAGTGTTTAAGGGAGTATTGTCTGCTTACGTGGACTACACCCTTCAAGCTTTGATCGTGTTTTCTGTGTTGCAGCCTCCACATCCTTCAACCTCCTTCTAACTCCTTTAATCTTTAAATATGAACACCTCTACAACCTGCTCCGACCTTCAGCAAAACCTCTTAGACTACCACTTAAATGAAGAAAAAATTTGTATAGACATCAGTCCGGCACCTAAGCTTTCTATAACATTCACATTTACTATTAATTATTGTGATTAAATAATAAAAAAAGAAACCTCTAAGGCTCTAGGCATCGAGTCCAACGCCTAGACCTCCTAGCGCTTTCTATAACCTTATTAATTATTATTTGGTTATTTAGTATTTAAGTATGCATGGTTTATTGTTGATCTAAGATTGCTACCTTTTTTGGTAATTTTATATGAATTTAATACATATTTATATTAATTATAATAATTAAATAATTTAAAAGATAGCTAAACGCCTAGTAGGCGCCTAGGCGTATGCCTATGCTTCTAGGTGCTAGGCGTTGGCTCAAACGCAGTCTGCCTAGCGCCTTCTGTAACATTGTCCCATAATAAAATAATGAACCAAGCCATAAGGAAATGCAGAATGATAGGTTCAAACCCTATTTTCTTCTTTCCGTAGCAACTCATAAGCTAAAGCTATGTGATGTAATGAGCTAACCTAGCCAAGACATAAGCTTTCTCGTGAAAAACTGAAAGACAGATTACAAAATCCCATCTCCAAACATCACCATCCTAACATAGGAACTGAGAACCAATAAAATGCAAGCTAGAATCCCAAACCAAGATACAGGTTTCATCACCAAATCATCACAATAGCATAAAGTAAAGTAAAACTCATGAATTAATTTCTAAATAAGCGAAGAATAAAAATGCTACAACAAAGGCATAAGAAAATGCCAACCAAACCCTGCTCTACTCTTATTGTAGCAACTCGATAGCTAAAGGCATGTGATATAAACAATAACCCAACCAAGATTTGACTTTTCTCATGATAACAAAGTTAATACACAAGGATAATAAAAACCCATTTCCAGAACCCCCCATCCTCGCATAAGAACCTAGAACCAAAAAAGCCCAAACTAAAATCCCAACAAAACCATAAGAAAAATCCATAATGCATAAAACCTAAACAAAGCACTACAACAGAAACATAAGAAAACTCCCAACTTTTAGAACCAAACCCCCATTCCCTTCTTATATGATGAAAAGGAAGAAACCCAAGCAAGATTTTGACCTTCCTCATGATAACAGCGTTAACAAACAAAAATAACAAAAACCCACTTCCAAAATTACCAAGAAGAGAAAAACCCGTGAATTAATTTCTAATAAAATGTTGGGAGAGTTGGGGTTTAAGGGGGAGAGCTCACGCTCTCAGGCTTGCCGATGACAGTGGCGACAGTCTTCGACGCCTCAGAGAGGATGGCTGAGGTGTCGATTTTCTCGAGGTCGACGTTGGTGGAGAGATTTAGGCACGGCATTTCCCCCTCTCTTCTCTTCTCTTCTCTTCTCCTTCTCCTCTTTTGGATTCTTTTCCTTTCTATCACACAAAAATGGGATTTTTATTATTGCAGCCTGCTGCCTTCAGTAGTCGGGAGGACGCGACTCTTGCTGTCATAAATGCTTAGATGGGCTTTGTAGGGCCTTTGTTTGATGGATAGACGGGCCTTAGGCCTGACCTTCGCTGAATTAGGGACTTAGATTATTATTAATAGTATCGAAATCGTAAATTTATTAATTTTAATTAAAATTTTAAATTTTCTAATTTGTAAATGGTTACATGTGAACTATCTCGGAACGAGATTTGCAGTGATTTTTAATCATGTATGAAGAGATTGAAAAATGAAGGTAATGTGCGCTTTAGTGGTATAAAGTTGTCACATTTTTTAACTTTGAGGAAAGAGTTTGTTTTTGACACTTTGATGTCGCAAACCTTCAGGTGCAAATTATTCTATTTAAAATGAACCTTTGTGGTACCAAACTATAAAAAAATTAATTTTGTGATATTAAAGTTAAAATAAGTGACAACTTTGTAGCACAAAAGTGTAAATTATCTAAAAATAAGCAAGCCTATAAACCTTTTGAACCGCTGATTCTGGCAGCATAGAGTACATAGTTAAAATATCGTAAGTCATTGAAGAGTAACATCTATATAGTTGATATGTAGCATGTAACATCTAAGGGCACATATTTGCAACTTTGAAATCTAACATCTAAACTTAAGTTCATAGATTCACGTCTTGAATACTATTTTAATAGTCTAGCTCTATTCCAAAGATATTTTCCCTGCCCATTTTAAGACGTATTTGATTCTTTAAAAGATAAATTATGATTTCATACATGAACTGTTTGCCTCATGAGTAAACATGCAACTAGGTTCCAAAGAGAGGACGTAAAGTATCTTTCTCAAGCTACCTCTAGTCAATATAAAGTCACACTAAAGTCCAATTATATCCCGTAATCTATTGCATTTGCCGAACGATATTTTCACAGCAACAATCATAGAAAACAGGCTAATTATTTACACGTTAACTAGCCTAACAGCTATAGCAAAACAAGAGAATTCATGGGAAAAAAACATATATTTAAAAAATCAGAAATCACAGAGAGGGCAATTACCAATAAAGACCCAAATCATCACTTTATAATGATACATTGCCATTAGTTCACACTTATGACAGCTCCAAATTCTGATAAATGATCAATTGCCTGGCTTTTTTTTTTCTCCCCTGAAAAAAATTCAACCCACCCTTGGGATGTAACACACTTTAGCCTCCCCATAGTCCCCAGACTCCCATCCATCTTCTCCTTCAACAAAAAGCCATACTCTGTTGCAGCAACAGTCCATGATCCTCTTCCAATGGCACCAAATGAACACAACCTTCACATTTGGATTCTCCCTCTCGATTATCTCCTTGGCCTCTGATCCTTTCGCCCCTACCAACTCCGGCCACATTCTCTTCCCTAAGAGAGGAGTAACCAAATACATTGTCAGCAGTGTCTCGCATCCACTCGGTTTAGGTATGGATTTGGTCTAACAAATGCATAAGATGAGATATAGTACAAAATTGGACAAAAAGTTTTAACATGCAAGGCTCATGACCCAGATTAAGGACTACTAATCCTTTTAAGTCAATTTTGCTCCGAGTAGTTTAACTTAGTCCATCTCTGTCGATGGCCTCATACAGATATACAATTAGCTATCTCAAAAGTTGAAGGGGGGAAAAATACCGACCTATGTAAATTCGCAATGCAGAAGTATGAGGTGGTGGTACCTGGGCAGAGATCAGGGCCACAAGGCGAGCAGTCTCCCGCTTCTGCTGCATCCATCTCTTCTTCCCTCTTGGTTGGCAAACAGCAAGCTAATACATAAAGGGGGTGATGAGGTCTGATTTATAAACAAATCCAACGATGGATAGGAATGGATAAGGGATGGCATGCATAAACCACATGTTATGTCCATCCATGCATGCCTATGTAGCTATAGTGTCACATGGAGAACCTCTTAGGATTTTGCAGAAAACCCTTCTCAGTTTGGGATTCAACAGAGCAATTCTCTGTCCATGCATGCCTCTGTAACTACCTTAAATTTCCGTTACGTTAAAGCTCTAGCTAAAGATTTGCTTAATCTATGAAATCCTAACTAGTTTTTCACTATAACCTCGTATTTATCTTTCTTCCCTTCACTAACACTACCTGTTCCTCCAGCAACCGTCTTATCTCTCGATACATGATCCTCGCTATTCAGCGCAATGCGTGACTATCACCCCCTCATTTTCCTTAGGGTTAGAGCATCAATTAGATTATGAGTTATGTTGGTCAACATTACGGTGAGGAGGAAGAGAAGAAAAAAAAGTTAAGGTGAGGTTAGGCTTAGAATTGTGCTTCAACTAGAACTTTTCAATAATTAATTATGATAGAGAATTAGTGAATAATTAAGGGTAAACATTCTATTAGGAGGTCACAACTCATGACCCTCCACTAGTAGCTAGTGAAAAAGAGCATCCTCCAATTAACTTACAAATGCAAGGGTTTCCTGCGAAAAATCACAAGAGTAGAGGTTTCTGCAATTTAGCATCAATTAAATAGTTGGATTAATTGGATACATTTGCTTCTTGCTGGTAGGCAGTCAACTACAGAGAATCTTTACTTCCATGTGTAATTTTTGTCTGCATATGAATTTGTCAATGTCTACAGCTACAGGGCTCACTAATTGAGGATTGTTGTGTTGTCATATAAGGCAAGATACATGTGATCCTATAGTATCTCATGCACAAACCAAACACGAGACCATGGACCGTATGCAGTAGTTATAAGCATACTCATGTCAGTTTAGCTTACATATTGCATGGTATACATGAGTAGAATATGGTGTGTGATTGAGTAAATGCCACATTTAGAGGAATTTACTCCCCAATTTAAGGGAAATATCTGTAACACAGTTTATTCGACTGCCGCCTATGAAGATACAGGGAAAAAAACCATTGAGAAGATAATTGCAAACATAGTTCATAAAAAAATTATACGCATTGGCAAGGGTGTGTACAAAATTACTTCACATCCACATCCATATATTAAATCAAGATATGCTTGAGAGGTGCTATCTTTTTCCAGAATAAGGAGAAGATCATCAGAGAATATGCTCAAATCAATAAATATATGATATAGTATCAACCTTTAGGATACATAACTAGATATTAGCATATCACCTTTATCTCAACAAGAACAATAACAACAACAAAAGAAATAATAGTTATAAAAAAGTCCAAGATATGGCATATCAATATCGTGCCTTACATAAAGATGAGATTGGTCGCCAATCAAAGGAATGGACGATTAAATAATGTGTATTCAAGATATATGTTTTGCACAGGTATCATAACACTCCCAGGGTGATGGTACGATAAAAACAAGAGCTACCTAGACCTGCTCTTGTAAATGAAATGCTCAAACTTACATTACTTGATCTTGCTTGAAGCATCACAAGTAACAAAACATTCCTCAGATGTCAAACTTTCAACTTCAAAAAGAGACTGAAAACGCTTGCCATCTGAAGGCAGTTGCCAGTTCCACTATGGCTTCTAGGATTTGTTAGAGAACAGCCCTTTGTTGACGAGTCCATCATTTAAAGGTTAATAGGTTCAAACTGTTGAACCATATTCCTTCAATCTCATTTTCTAATCTGTAACATCGAACCGACACTTGCATCAAGAGCGAGAACTTTCCTTTATGATCGCAAATGTTGTAGGCTTCAAGTGAAGTTAAAACTCGCTTAACGAATCCTGCTTAGTGCTGCTCATCGAGCAGGTCTTCAGGAGGATCATATATAAGCATGTCAGGGAACAACTCCAAAAAGTCTTCTTTCACTTTCTCTCTTAGATCTGGATACGGTAAGAGGCCTTTCAAGATAACCCTGAACGGTAAAGAGAGCGGTGGATCGGGAGAACTCCTCATCTCATCATAAAACTCCATGGCCAAAGAAATTAAGCCTCCATCTGAAAAGGCCCTTACAATATCTCCATATGTATGCTGATCAAATAAGACTCTCTCATTCCTTAAATCTGCCCAAACCTGCTTTGCTTCCTCAGCTTTCTTGTTCCTTGCAAGCATGAAAAGCATGTCTCGGTAGAAGTACATATCAGGATGGTACCAAATTTCTTTTCTTACAACTCCATATATCTAGTGAAGACACTACATATTAGTAACTGGCCACACATATTTTATAAATCATATATGTCTAAATACAGTCTAAAGTTGCAGTAAATCAAATAATGATCTAGTATTAGTATTACACAAAACTAAGTAGACAAATTCAGGCTATTCAGCACAATATAGACAACAAATTGCAACTGGAGTATGACAATATAGCAAGGTATTAATTATATTGACTACAAATAGTTCCCTTTTCTAGAGTAAAGAGTGCTTCCAGAGCCAGAAGAAGGATTAGGAGCGACATCGAACCTTTTGCAATATTTAAGAGCACCTAAACTTCTGCAAATCCATATTGTTCTTCATGCAGTCTCAAGAACATAGAATGAGTTACAGAAATAACTATTCAAGTAATACTGATGACGAAATGAACAAATGAATCTACTTAGTGCACTGATAATCACATTTTTATTACATTTTATACCCTCATTATCTATTTGATTTAAATAAAAATGTCACTAATAAACATGTTTTACCTTAATTGCAAGTTAATGAATAAAAGCCCAAAATAACTCAACATCTCATCTCTCAAAAAGCCCAAGAAGTCCAAGCTCATACACACAAGAGAAGATCGGTCGAAGAACAAGATAACTGAGTATCGATACCCGTATCGATAACGGTATCGATACCCGTATCGATACCAAGTTTACTGTTACGGATTAAAGGTTGAAATTGATTAACTTGGGAATCAAGTTTAATCCAAGGATTGATATTGGCCGTAATACTCTATAAATAGGGGTAGAGAGTAAGGGTTCAAGTGTGAAATATTTTGTAAAAACTTTTTTTGGAGAGGAGGGTCACTCTTAATTGAGAAGACATTTCAAACTGTAACTTTTTGTTGCAATTAATAAAAAAAAATTTACCTTTTTATATTTTTCTTTTCTTCTTTGTTTGATTATGAAGATGTATGTAGTATGAAGATAAAGAACAAGATGAAAGTTTGCTATCACCTTGAGGCTAGAACCATCTTATGATGTAATTTTTTTTTGTTAATAAATTTATCTTTTGCTTTCTTTTCTTGTTTAAATAGCCAAGAGGCTAGAACCCTCTTGCCTTTTGTTAATAAATTTATCTTTTGCTTTCTTTTCTTGTTTAAATAGCCAAGAGGCTAGAACCCTCTTGCCTTAGATTTATTTTCATGCTTGCTTTCTTTTCTTGTTTAAATAGCCAAGAGGCTAGAACCCTCTTGCCTTAGATTTATTTTCATGCTTAACAAGATAGATTTACTTTCATGTCTTCACTTCATTGCTTTAAATTCTTGCATTTATTTTGTAGTTTAGATTTTTACAATTTATTTTGTAGTTTAGACTTTTTTTTTTGCACTATTCGCCTTGAGGCTAGAACCCTCTAGGGAATGCTTTTTTTTTTAAATGTGGAACTAATACTTGTGAGAACTCTAGAAATTGCATGAAACTAGCTAGTGGATTCAATTCAAAATTCATCATATCTCTAATTGAATCATCCATCTTTTACTTTATTTATTTTCCTCTTTATTTTTAATTTTTCTCTCATTTGTTTCTTGATTTTATTTCCTTCATCTTTCTTTCTTCCCTTTTATTAGTTTTGTTTACATTTACACTTCATCACATCCACTCTTTATCTCTTCACTCTCAATCTCGTTTTGTTTTATTTACATACAATCACTGTCACTTTCTCTCTCTCCACAATCACATCCATCACTCGTAATTGTCACACATACAACATAAGAATCGATTTTGATTTTTTCCTACAAATACCTTCCTCATGGGATCGATAACTTTTTATATTATAACTTGATAGTTGTATACTTGCAACTCCAGAGGTATATTTTTATGCACTGTCATGCACAGTGCATAGATATCCCATTGTTCTGATTTAAGAACTCAATACTCTTTGACATGTAAGCTTCCATAAAAAATAACAAAGGGAGCACAAGATTCGAATGGTCAAAGAGATCAGATAGGAGGAAATTTCTGTGGCACAGGATGAGGATACAGTAACTACAACAACCAAGGTCGTGGCTG